ATGCTTTGACAATAAATCCATAAAGAAATGTCATCTGTGGAAGCCGTGGCGCTGTAAAAATCACGACNGGCATTTGTGTTTAATCAATCAATCAATCAATGTTTATTTATATAGCCCAATATCACAAATGTTACATTTGTCTCAGTGGTCTTCACAGTGTGTACAGATTCTGTACACACTGTGAAGACCACTGAGACAAATGTAACATTTGTGATATTGGGCTATATAAATAAACATTGATTGATTGATTGATTAAACACAAATGCCATGACAGCTCAACCTTTTTATCTGCAGTTTTTTGCTTTTTTCCTGCATTAAAGGATAGGTTTGCAATTATTCAAGTCTTTTTAAAAAGAAAACAAGCCTGTTGTAATTATTCCCCCTGTTCATAATATAAATAGGTTATCCCCTCTAAATTACCATGTTAGTAAAGGGGGCAACTTCACTGATCAGGGCTCCTAATGTTGTTGTATTCTGTATCTATCTCCAGAGTTTTACAATCCTGCCTGAGTATTGTAAACCCGTCTTGAACCTTTAAACACATTAATCTATTATTATTCAAACGGGACTTCCTGGGTCGGATTTCAATGTCTGATAGGTTACTTTAAAAAACACGTTCCCACAAACAGACCCCTGTGTCTTTTAACTGTTTGGCTGGTTAACCCATGACAGTTATTTGTGTAACATTTATTCTGTAACGGCATTATTTTTATTTTTGTCTGCCGGCCTTCATATCATCATAAATCATCCCTCATGTAAACAGTAAACTAATAATGTGCCATTTTTCATATCACTGCATCGCTTCTCTGCTGCCTGGATTATATTTCTTCTCTCCGCCTGCGTGACAATGAGGCGCTGTGCCTCGCTTATCAGCTCTGAACCAGCGTGACAGACTGGAGCTGGGCTGCCCCAAAATGGTGGCATTTACCTCCCAAAAGCACTACTGAAAAAGGCATTTTGTCGGTAGGGTCAGGCGATTTCTGATTCCCTCTTTCACAACTGCACATTTTTTTTTGTCTTGCAGCAGAAAATGATTGAATTAGGCTGCACACAATGCTTCTCTCTGTGGTATGGTCTGTCGTTTAAAATGATTGGGCCTTGGGGAGACATTTCTGTGCTCTCATCACTAAACAGGAAACAAGGAAGCATCGGTTCATTTGTATAAACCAAGCATTAGTTGTGGTTCAGCAACTAACACATATAATATATTTCTATTAGAGTTTGCAGCCATGGTAAATCTGTAAATTAATGGTATGGGAACATTAAAACTAAATGTGTAATCAAATATCCACAATGTAAACAAACTCGATTGCGCTTCAGCTCCAGGTTAATTAATTACCTGGGGTACATCACGTCAGGCTGCGTTAAAGCACTCCTAACGTAATCCAGGTTACTTGGATGAAGTGGGGAGTGGAGATTACTGCACCACCATGAGTGATTTACGTATAATTGCACTGACTGAGCCCTAGTGCTGCTTTTCCACTAAGGGTCCACCAAATGAAAACATAGGAGAGGGTCAGAGAGTTGGTGTGACATTTTGTGTTTTTTCAGGGGGATTGGTTTGGACTAAACAAATGAATCAATGAAAATGTTCCTTTTTAGAAAACAAGAACTTGCTATCAACTAATATTTGTTTAATTTTTGTAGTCAGACGTAATGCAGGTTTCCAAGTTGCCGTTTACATTTGTATCGATCCAAAATGTCCTCACAGCATCATTTTGTGCTATCAAACATTAAACGTATGAATTCTTGAGTTAAGGTCAAAAAAATGTGTAAGGTCACACTGACTTAACCTTTGACCCCTGCATTTCAATAAATGCATCCAAATTCTAAGTGTACATTTGTGGCAAATGCATAGAAATCCTGTTCAAGTGTTAGCTCACATTCACTAACAAAGCCCCAAAAATGGTTTGTCCTTGGGTTGAGTTTTTTTGTTTATTTGTCGAACCAATATTAAGGCTGAGAAAGAACGTAGTACATGCTCCTCATTAGACTTCTGGACTCCACTAGTCACATTTCTTACTTCAAACTGTAGGTTTTTTTTAAGCCACCTGTGCAAACTGAACCTAAACCTGTGCTTCTTTCACATTTCAATAGGTTTGGTAAGTCTCACTGTCAGCCTCAATCAAAACAGCAACACCTTGGTAAACAATAGAAATATAAAAATAAAGCAGTAGTGCAGTATCATGAAATACAAGTTTAAAGTTTGTGAAACTTCTCTCCTATCACCTCACTCCGCTTATAATGGTGCTTGAAACCAGGCCTTCTCATATCATTAAGCAGCCTAGCGTGTCCTGTTGCCATGACATAATCTGGAACAGTTTCCATAATATGTTAAGCAACAGGCTGATATGTTATTTTGTCATACTTATTCAAGCTTACTACTGTCAATGTCAAGCTATATGTATAATGGATCACATCCCTGGCCACCTGTTTCCTCAGAGCCACAGGTGTCTTAAGGTAAGGATGTAGTAAGCAGCAGATTTATTTTTTACAGCAGGATTAAAGTATCAAACCAGGAAGTACATACAGTCCCCTTCTCTCTCGTGCCTTTACACTCGGACAGGTGCAATGGCATACAATCACACAAACAGTAGCAACATAAGTGAAATCAACATGCTGCTTATTAAATAACCAATTATAACAAATACATGATATACTGACTGTCCTTGGGTAGGACATTAAACCTGTAACACACATCGGTTATAGGGGATACATCTTATTTAAGGCTGAAAGACACAGTGAGCTCCTTTCAGACTGTCGCTGTCCATGGTATAGTTCTTCGACAAAGCCAATAAAAAGAGTGCATGAACACAGGGAGCATATTTAACAATTAAATAGCCTACGGAAAGACACAATGAACAAGGAAGCAGCAGCAGATGGGTTGCACTAATCTCCTATAACTGTGCGGCTTTAACTACTCTTTCCATCGTGCCAATTGCACTTGCAGGTGACTTACTCTTGGTGATCTTCTGTAGCCCAAGCACATCATCGGGCGATATTACGGTATTTCCGCGCAATTCTTCCTCAGTTCTCAACGGGATCCCCATGTCTGCGTTGCAGCCTTGCTGCACTTTCATGTCCAGCAGAAGAGGGATGATCGGTGGTCGACCTGAGAGGAGCTGAGGCTTTCTGGTGCTCTCGGCGTCGTCGCCGCAGGAGCAGATTTACTTGCGTCGCAGCCTTTGGATAATTCACGTACAGCAAACTGTGCCGCTACAAGAATAACTCATTCTCCGTGTCTCCTCCCCTTCTCGATCCGGTAAAAGATAAAAATCAGCCCTTAGCTCCCTCCCCTCCCGCGCTCAAGGCTCATCGGTCCTCTCACAAGGTATTTAATCCAAATCCTGTGGCTTTAAACCGAGCAGTAGTGCGTGGCTGACAGTCTGCGCGCCTCGTCATCTGCCCACACAGCAGTGCGTGCATGGCTGCTCTACTCAGAAAGACTAACTGATTACTCTGTAAAATGAGCTCCCACATCCGGGGAAGCAAACACTGACAGGTGTCAGAAATAACATCTTGGAGTTATATTTTGTTGAGGTGAGCTGTTACTACTGTGTGAAAAGAGGGGGTTGCTAAATCAGCATGTAGGCCTGTGAACAATACTGTCTGCTCTCCTTTAGTGTGATAAGTGAATGGTTCTCAATGTATTTTAGCTTCCCTAAAACAAACCATCTTTCTCAAGTTTGGCCCTATACTGTAGCAGTATTTTTCCCTCGATAGGAAAGGAATCATCAGTCCTTTTTATTTTATTCAACTATTTAATGTTCATCCTTTTTTGGCCACCTGAAGGGCAGAATAACTTTAACATTCTTCATGTTCCTATAATCCAATGCAACTTTATTTATATACAGTAGCATATCTAAAAACAACATAGTTGACCAAATTGCTTTACATTAATAAATATATAATGTTATTATGCTCACAATAAATCCCAATCATTAGACACAAAACTACATTTGTATGTTTTGGAGTTTCTTGGCCCTGTTTTATACCAAGTCCTGAAGGTAATACCTAGATCTTTAGCTGCTGTATACCCCAGCTTACGTTGTTTACATTTTTTTAATCATATAGACTACCTACAGCTATCGGAAACAATGAGAGTGGTGTTAAATTTATAAGCACTTCACACTCTTTATAGCTGAGAGAGATTGCAGAGTTGGGTGATAATCCCCTTTAAACATATTAACACACACTTATCGCTTTAATACGTTGTTAATAAAATATAAAAAAGCAAGGAAACAAAGTCTTTCAGCTTTATAATATCTTTATTTCATTGTTTCTTCATTGGAAAGTTGCTTTCCAGATGCCAGCATCCCTGAGAAAGTGTAAAATGTGAATCTTCTGGATAGCCCCATCCATGAGCTGGAACAGGCCGGCCAAAAGATATTCACATCTGCAAAACACAACCCTGCACAGCCACCTTTCTCTTGGAAAATCACAGGCTGGCCAGTGTCCTCTCCAGCGAAGTGAGCCTTTTGCTTTGTGATGAGGAGATGGTGCCTGTGTCTGCTGGGTGAACCTACTGCAGCTGTCCATGGTAGTACTTTGTGAGGAGTTATGTGATCGTTTATCCCTTTACTCTCTCAAATCTGTGGATCCCAGATAGAGGAAAAACGCTTCGGCGAACAGGCTTATTGGCATCATGTCAGCTAGAAACACATAGGCGAGTAAATAAAAATAAAATAAAAGGGTTAACTAATAAAAGCTATTAACCAATCCCCATACCCCCCATACCCCCCTTTCATTATCTTGAGGTCTGTAGACAGAGAGCATTGCTACAATTTTTACCGGTATTACAGACTCTGGAAGTCAGTCACAATCAGAATCATTCACGATGCCACATACTTCCAAATCCTACCAGTAAAAACGTAACAATATTCAAAAGCCATTAGCTTTCGGGGCTAGGTGGCTGTTGAAGAATTTCCAAGGGGATGGTTTGCAGCATGCCGACCCCTCTGCTATCCCCCCTGTTAGCCCACAGTCTGCTGGACTCCTTTCTATGCGGTCATCTCGAAGCAGCCCCTGCGGTGCGTCTGCATGTCCCTCACCCTGCGGATGGACTGGATCTGGGGCTGTTGGGCTCCCCACTCGTTCCAGTGCTTCATAGGTCCCATCTCAAACACATACTGGTATCCACGGTAGCCAGGGTACTGGTAGCCCACCCAGCTGTGGGGGAAGGCAGAGAGAAACACTTAGGACACACAAAGCTCTGTTGACTTCAATTCAGATGAGCTTTATTACAAAAATGGTTAGGTTAGGTTATTGCCAAAGCTAACATGCGGTCAAATTGTAATTTTAAAAACGGCAACTTCTACTACATGCTTTTATACTTTATTGATTCCAGATTGTAAAATGCTTTGGTACATATAATCTAATCGAAACATTTACTACAAAGCTTGTAGCTACTCATGGCAACAGTCAAAATACTTTGCAGCCAACATTGTTCATTGATTTATCTCCCCACAGGATATAAATGGTTTATTCATTCAATTACAAATGTTCTGGCTGTACAGTAAGATGAGAGATTCTGTTTTTTCTGTTTGCTCTACTTTTGTTGGCCAAAGGCTGTTTTAGTTTAAAATTTTACTCAGAAATGACTTACGTTCCACCGGAGACCTGAATGCTGGCAACGCGATCCTGGAAGCCGTAAGACCACAGGCTGGGAATATCCTCATCGCACACCTCCATCTTACGACCCTCGAAGTTGGGGCACTCGTACAGGCAGATCTTGTGGTCCTGGGGATCCTGTAAGACACACGCATCATTTGTAAATCAGTAACTGTTGACAACTTTTCTTACAGATCCTGGTGCAGCTGTTTGTCCTAGATTTTAGCCGATAAAGAGATTTTAAAACAAAAATGCAGTCAAAAAAGTTAAATGACTTACAAATTGACATGAGTACAGTTACTGTATTGTTGATTTAGAAAGGAATTTTTATTTGGAAGGCCAGAAACACTGAATAGGTGTAGGTTTTCACTCTAAACATTGTCATATTGATAGTGGAAAGCAAAAATACACGCAGTGGATTGAATCTATAAATACAATAACTGCATCCATAGCAAATGTTTTACTTTAAGCCATCATAAAATGTATAAGAGATGCAAAATAAGCTGATTCTGACTCACCATCCTGACGGGCCTGATGGACATGAAGCGGTCGCACCTGTAGCTGTTGGACCAGGTGTTCCAGCGGGGGTACTCTCCCTTCTCCAGCATGAACATCTCACCAGTCATGTTCTGCTGCTCATAACCCACCCAACTGCATGGATAGAAACATGGAAACAAATGTTACTTAGGGAAAATAGTTACAGAGCTCTAACACTTATTTGAATGGCCATTGTGGTCCCTTACGGTCCCTTCTCCACCCTGATGGAGCCGATCCTCTCGAAACCCTTCTCCATCAGGTTGCGGTTCTCTGCGAACAGATCCATCCTACGGCCTTGGAAGTTCTCAAACTCATAGAGGTAAACCTGAAAGGCAAATAAAAGCTCAATTTGTTTATTTCTGAAGTTAAAATGTTTTCAGTGTTTAATTTTAGGCTTAGTTTTTAAGTCAATTATAAACAAGCAGTAGAAGTACCTTGTGATTGTGCAGACCAATGGCAGAGTGGCTGCCAATGCTACCCTGAGCGCCTGAGTGAGACATGATCAGATCTAAAGAGAGAAACACAAAGTCAATGAGACATTTTCACATATCACTGTGGGGCTTGAAGAGGGGAATTATTGTTTCTGGACTGCTGGAATAATTTTAGATGCCCAAGCCATTATTCATTCATCCACTATTTTCGCCACTTTGTTTCTTGAACAGCCAATGCCAACACAGTATCTCTTCTGTTAACATTCACATAACTTTAAAGTCACATCAGAAAAAAATAGATCTCTAAATTTGCCTTTATTGTGTAAAAGCTTTACTGTTAACTGGCTATTATTTTATGCCCTCAAGAACTGGCTGACTTTTCTTTCTGGTGAAGGTTCACCAGGCTGAAAAGCGGCGTTTGACTGCCCTCTGTGGTTGAGAGACTGTTTCACCCCTAACCCTAATCAGAATTACTGACGGGTGTAGCTGAATAAGCACCTGTAACCTCACCCAACTATGATGTCATGGTGCACTGACAGACTTCAGAGTAACTATCATTTCATGTAAAACAAATTGTGTTTTAAGTTGCTCTTTAAGGGTAAAACATTTCTAATAATAAATATATATATGTCTTTATCGTCTATAATATATTTAAACATTAACCCTTGATGCATTTCATTCCATTTAAATATGAGAAGCAAAATGGAGAAAAAGTAAGCAGATTTGCAACACTTGTAAAACCATATAGTTTTTAAGTATAACTGAACTTGTTTAAATGATTAGCTTACTCAAATCCATCCCAAAATCCATTTTGTAAGCAGCATAGTTTAATCTGATTCTTCCCTTTTTAAAGCGGTGTTTCCTCTGTATATGGAACGTCAAACCTGCCATAGTCACATTTTTATTTCAGAAATAAGGAAAGCAGCCCCTTGTCTTTCTCATCCATTTAAGCTTAGGATGACCAACTGAACCAAGCAATCAAAGCAACACTACACAATAAAATCATACCCTGCTGCGTTTTATGTCAATATACTATCTAATAAGTCAAAGTTAAGTGTGGGCAGTCAGGAAACCCCAATATGCTACTCACTCGCCAACAAAATACCACCAGTTATTTAAAAGTTAGAAAACGTTACAGTGAAAACTTACAATTGCAGGTTCAACGGACCGACCTTGGAGTAAATTGATGGTCACAGGCGAGGTCGGTGGGGAGATATATATACATTCACAACCAGGACGAGTCTGTGGAGGCCCGATTCTGACAGCTCATTGGCTGTGAGCTCTTTGGAGTACCGGGGGTCAAAGGTCACGCTGCTAATCTATGGGCAAGAAGCGCTGACTGGGCTGCCTGTTTTGTTTTCCAGCACCATTGTGGGGAACAGAGGACAGTCACTGCCATCAGCATTTTGACACACACACACACACACACACACACGCACGCACGCACGCACGCACGCACACGCACACGCACACGCACACGCACACACACACACACACACGCACACACGCACACACTCACACACGCACACACGCACACACACGCACACACTTTTTATTTCATTTTATGCTTCATTAACTTATTGTGTTGATCTCAATATTTGTATTCTATTTTCTAATGTACCATTTATTTCAAATCATTCTAAAATGTAGCAGCTGTCACAAAACACAATTTCCCCAGGGACAGGGTTCTGATAGTGATACTATATTTCTATTGTTTTCTCCTTCAGTTTCTATATAATCTCTTTGTATTTCAACTCCATATTCTGTCTCTTTCTCTTGATCCGTGTTACAGCCGTTCCAAGCCTTTGAGCCCTGTGTGTGTAATGTGCTGACTGCAGGGGCTGCCTCCATCTCTCTTTTGTTTTCGACAGGCGTGTGTTGGACGCTCTTCTGCTTGTTATATTGCTGGACAGATTGTATCCATATATACACATTTCATACAACCCCACATATAAACTCAGGTACTATCCACAATTGCACTCCAACACAAAATGACCTTTTTGTTTCTTGTACAAATAGATACAAATAGTAATCCCGTGACTAAAAGGTCACGTATTATAATAAATGTCTTCAAAGTTTCAATAAGCTAGAGTGTTCTGATAAATGCTTTTACATGTGGGGTGTATATTCTTTCGACGATATATCTCCCACACCTGTGGCACTGTGATCTTTTAATAGCTTACTAAATGTAATTGCAAGCAGACAGATCTTGTGAATATTGTGATTATCAACTCATGTGATTTTCATGATCTTGATGCATCTGTTAGACATTGGTGAAAAGCTTGTGGGCGAGAAATGATTTTATAAAAGGAATTATTGGAGCATTGCGAAAGAACCCACGGAAAATGTCATCTCTTGATCTATTAAATACAAAGGCAATATGAACACATTTAAAAATCAAAGCTATTTTCGACTTTTATAGTGTTTAATACAAGAGGCGAGAGGGATCAGATTCACTCTCTTTAGCTCTACATTTTGAGATGGGAATTAAGATGCATTTCTGAGGCTTATGCATTCATGTGTTATAATTGTATCTTCGCCTTTGCAAGTCATGTTACATTTACAGTAACCACGATATTAGGCTATACAGTACAGTAAATTGGTATCGATAGCTGATGATAGCATATACAAGGTGACCTGTCAGAAAATGTCCACATCAATTATCATCATCTTTCTGGGAGTGAATAAAATGTCTATTTTAAATACATTTAAAAATGCTCTTATTTTTTTACGTTACTAACATATTGCTGTATGTAGCTATATAAAAAAAAGTATGATATTAGTTTTTGCAAAAGTTATTATTTTTCTACCGTTAGGTCAGCTGGATTAATGGCTTTCACTGAAGCAATTTGAAAGAATTTCAATTTTGTTGTGAAGAAGTAAGACACTTTTGACTCATGTTAAGGCTATAATGTGTGCTTTTATAATAAGTGATTTTCAAGAAATTGATTGAAAAAACAATTGGAGGATTAGGTTACATTTAAAGTAATATGCTGACTACAGGATGTGTAAGTGTCTGAGTTCTTTTGTATGCTCTGTATGTATGTGTGACTGCATGAACAGGCATCTGCGTGCCATGACTGTGGGTGTGCATGACTGAACATGTGTGTATATGGGAGTGAGAAAAGGTGAAAGGACCCGAGATGAGGGGTCAGTTGAGGTGGACATGTCAAGCAGATCGGAGACAGCTCAGTGTAGAAAGAACACAGTAGGTACATTATTAAAAAACAAATCCAGCTTATCATTAAAAAAACACATCTGTTTGGCTCCAGGATATAAAAACAAATACCAACAAAGTGAACTTGTTCCGTTTGCAACTTGCAACTCCATATTTCATTCTCTTTATACTTGAACACTAAATGTGTTTTTCCTTTTGCACCAGAGGCACTGGCAACACTATCAGCACCTGTAATGATCTGTTTCCTGGGCCAGGCTGTACCAGGACTTGGTCTGGCCCACTGGTCATGGACCATTTGGAACTTGATTATATCCGCACTGGGCACAGTGCCCTGCATTTAGTCCCAGAGAAATAAAGCCCGGCAGCTCAGTGCTGAACAATGAGTGAAACAGCAATGTGCTGACTCCTGCCCCGACCCACAGGCCCAGCTGCCTTTCAGCACCAGCATGTATAAATAGGCCCGTTTACTCTTGGGTCAGGACATCGTTTTTGTGGAGCCCCTTGTGAGCACTGCACTGCAATTCTTTGGGGCCGGTCAGGTAAGCCCTCCATCTTAATCCGTTCATCCTATAGACCTGTGCAGACCATTGTCACTTTACATGTCTGTGCCTTTGTTGTTTCTGCAGAGCCACGTAAATCTATAAACTGCACATGCATGCACATACTGACCACACACAGTGAGAACGAACAGCATTGTTCTTCCATCGACAGCTGCATCATCAAGTGTGGGCATGTAGTCTGCTTCAAAAAAGGGTTCATGCCTAAAGACATACAAATGATTATTTTCTTTCATATAGATTTTTGCTGTATGGAACACAAAGACTATTAAAATACCTCGTACAATCGATAATAAACAACAACTCAAAAACTTACATTGTATTTGATGTTGAGGAGGTGACAGGTTGCGTTTGAACTGTATATCGTTCTTTAATATTACCATAAATATGATTCTCCCTGTTCCCCACACTGAAGGTAAATCAGCACTGAGACACAGATAGCATGGCTCTGAATAATCCCATCCCACTGGGACCATGGAAGGTGAGTGTGATGTCTTGCCATGCTTGATTAACAAAAGCAGATTACTTTCTTTTTTAATTTCATGCCTGGCCTGATGATCTCAATGATGTGTGCCTGTGTCTGTACACACATCAGTGTGTGCCTTTTGCATGTGCATACTACATGTATGCATTTGTGTCTTCCACAGATCACTGTTTATGACCAGGAGAACTTCCAAGGGAAGCGAGTGGAGTTTACCTCAGCCTGCCTGAACATCATGGAGTGTGGCGTTGACAACGTCCGCTCCCTAAAGGTGGAGTGTGGAGCGTAAGTCAAACTATGAGGACAATTATAGTAAACTAACAATTAATAATGTCGCACAATTAAAATCAGATACTTTATTTACTTATTGGCTAATTTCATTTATACATTTACTTTGTTTTAGGGAACAGAAATAAAAAGGGGTGAAAAACAGAAACTAACCAAAACATTTTTCAACAGATAAATACAAATTCTAATAAATGATAGGCATATTATTACATATTATTTCAAATTCCGGCATGTGCTAAATAACAGAGACAAATAAACACAATGAACAAACAGAACTAAGAAACAACCAATATTCAGTGGAGAAAATGAAAACATAATCAGTGTCTCATATCTAATCATGAGTCTGTTTTGTTGTGATGATCTTGTGTATGTGTGTGTGTGTGTGTGTGTGTGTGTGTGTGTGTGCGTGCGTGCGTGTGTGTGTGTGTGTTTGTGTGTCTGCTTGCTGAGGACAGCTGGGCAGGATATGAGCACTCCAGCTTCTGTGGACAGCAGTTTGTGTTGGAGAGAGGAGAGTATCCTCACTGGGAGTCGTGGAGCGGCAGCAACGCCTACCACATTGAGAGGATGATGTCCTTCCGCCCCATCTGCTCTGCTGTGAGTTTCTGTCTCACTGCTCTGGCTTCTGTTTCACCTCCATACCACATCTCGTGTGTCTCAAAAATATCAAATTGACTCACACAACATGTGCAGTGTGGTCTTATGTATCATCACGACCAGCCCCCCCCCCCCACATAAATTAGATTAGTATGATAAATGACAATTATAACATGTCTTTTCAGCACCACAAGGAGTCAAAGATGGTGTTGTTTGAGAAGGAGAACTTCATGGGACGGCAGTGGGACATAAACGATGACTACCCCTCCCTGCAGGCCATGGGCTGGGGCAACAACGAGATTGGTTCCATGCAAGTTCAGAGCGGCTCGTAAGTCTCAACCTCTGCACTCAAATTCATAACTCTTTATATGTTTTCGGATTTGTGAAACCAATGTGTAAAATGTACACCAAAAACCTTTGTCTTTTTAAACGTTGTTGTCTTTGTCTTTGTTGTTTCTGCTGAACCACATACATGTAAAGTCTGATGGCAGACATGCATACAAATACTGATCATGCACTAGATATCCTGTTGTAAAGAAATAAGTATTGGTACTATTTTAATTCTTTATTTAAACTATTTAAAAATTACTTTTTGATTACTGTTACAAAAAGATTTAGGTGAATGGTACTCAACATTGATTTGTATTAAACATTTGTTAAAAGTTATAAATATAGAAATACAACTTGAATTAAGTTTGGTGAAGAGCAACATGTTATATTCTATCTATATGAATATTTTGAATATAATCACCAATATTTTCAGAAACAATTATTAAAAAATATTCTATATTACAGAAATGCAAAAATGTGTTTTGTCCAAGATCATATTTCCCATTTTCTGATTGTAATCAACAAAGGAAGTTGTAAAAATGCATACATTTAAAATTACAACTATTTGTCTTAGGTTGCTCCGATATTGCTTACACTTCTGCCTTCTTCTCGCATAGTTTGGAACTGTGGTTATTTTTCAATGATTAATCTCCGCCCTCCCCTCTTCCTCTCTCCTCCTCCAGCTGGGTGTGCTATCAGTTCCCAGGTTACCGTGGTTACCAGTACATCATGGAGTGTGATCGTCATGGCGGCGAGTACAAACATTACAGAGAGTGGGGCTCCCATGCTCAGTCCTTCCAGGTGCAGTCGCTGCGTCGAATCCAGCAATAAGACCTGCAACATCCTCCCCCAAACTCTTTACCTCCTTCTCCACCTCCTCCCCCTCTTCCACATCCTCCTCCTCACCCCCTCACCCAGTCATTCCAAGCTTTATCCAGCTCCGTCAGACCTTATAAACCACGGCTGACACTTTGCTGGTGCTTCACAATCAAGATGTTTTACTGCACTTTTGTTTCTTTGCCAAATGAAAATAAAGAGAAATTATGACAACAAAGAAAATAAGAGAAAAACGTTTACTTAAGCGAAGCCCCTGAGTGACACCCCCTGAGGAGGAAAGAGAATGAAGTTATAGGCCTCAGGGTGGAGATGTCACGCAGAGGCAGAACGAATGGGCAACATGAAATAAACGGAAAAACAAACGTCTGCTGCTAACCTCCATGCTGCATAGTTGTGATTTATTTTGTATGATTTGGTTTGAAAATATATTAACGCTATGGCTTCTCTATTCATTCCGAATCATAAAATGAAGCTTTCTCCAAAACTGAGCAGTGTAATCTAAGATACTATAACTCTTATCTTGACTTCTTGCTTGCTACTTGTAAAAAATAATGCACACAACATGTAATCAATGCTGCTGGTTGATTATTGAAATTCAAGAGCAACAGTTCTTTTGTGAGAAAATCATCCCCTGATATCAGAGCTCTTACCTGAATCAACAACTTAAAGCTTACTTTTAAACATAGCTAAGTGGTGGTACACAAAATAAGATTGCATAGGTTACTGACAACAGTCAAGAGCAGGATAGCACTGATATGAAAACCACACAGTGAAATTCAACAGATGGAAAAACTGTGTAAATAATTTGTACAAAATTAAATAAATAAATAGCAATGAAAAAATTAAAATAAATAGGTTTGCTATAAGGTATTACTGAATGTATGCGATTAAGCCTTTTATGACATAAAAGGTGCAGGTCAGGTCTTTAAAAACACCAAGCAAGAAAGATAAAATCTAAAAGCTTTTAATAAAATAAAATGTGGGCGTCCCTATATTTAAAAATGATCTGTCAAGTCTATAAGCAAAATGAGAATTGAGCATTATGGGAAGTAAATATACAGTACAGAGAGGTTTAAACAGGTGTTTAAGTTATTTGAGTGTCTGTGGTCAGTCTTAGGTGCTGTTAGGGGCAGTGGTGTAAAGTGACTAAGTAGACTTACTCAAATACTGTACTTAAGTACAATTTTGAGAGACTTGTAGTTGAGTATTTCAATTTGTTGCTACTTTGTTCTTCTACACCACTACAATTCAGAGGTAAATGGTGTACTTTTACTCCACTAGATGTAATTAATACATTTAGTTACTTTGCAGATTTTGTTTAATGATGTGATTAAATAATCACAACTTAAAAATGACTCTCGTTAAACCTTAAAGTAAAATTCAATAAGTATTCTACAGCATAGTTACTAACCTGCTCCAGCTTTGACAACATTTCAACATCAATAATTATAATCAAAACAAGCGTTTTATATTATACTGAAATTCTGCCAACCTGCATAATGTGCATATTTTGATGCTAATTATATTATACTTTCAGTTTGATTGCAGGACTATTACTATTACTTGTTGTCTGGACTTGTTCCACCCGGTTCCACCTCTGGTTCAGAACATAGACTGTCTATGTTTATGGAATAAACTCCACCGGTCCACCTTAAATGTGACGTCAGCGTGTAGCGTCACCCTGTGCTCTGAGCGGAAGTAGATGGAAACAGGCAGGCCAGGGTCTGACAGCACTAATAATACGACTGTCGCTGGGGAGCCAAACTCTCCGGACCGGGTGTTTCCTCTTTAATTTGAACGTTCACATGGTGTAGAAGTGGAAGATACTTCAACATGGTGCACGTTTGGGAGCGTCTCCTGACGAGGCCGAAACTCCGGTTGTCACTTCTTCTTCTCGCCTTTCTTCTCTCTCTTGTTGTCTCCCCGGGTGACACCAGGACACGGAGCGTCAACCCCTCGACGGAGGAAACAGTAGAAACTTACAACAAATACTACAATTATGTTGACCTGACCATGCGTTTACAGTCCTTAGTGGAGAAATACCCTCACTTAGCTAACCTGTCGAGCGTAGGTGAGTCTGTGGAAGGCAGGCAGCTGTGGGTGATACGGATCACTAAGGACCCCAGTAGAGACACCCCGGGGAGACCCAAATTTAAATATGTGGGGAACATGCATGGCGACGAAACCGTGTCCAGGCAGGTGTTGGTGTACCTGGTGGAGTACCTGCTGGCTGCATATGGAGAGGAGACCCGCATTACTGAGCTGGTGGACACCACGGATATTTACATCATGCCCAGTATGAACCCTGACGGCTTTGAGAAGTCCAAAGAGGGGGACTGCGATGGAGAAAACGGGGGTCGAAATAATGCCCTAAATATGGACCTCAACAGAAGCTTCCCTGACCAGTACGATGAGAAGGTTCTCAATCCAGTTAGTATCCCCGAGGTGGTGGCTGTGATGAGGTGGATCAAGGAGAAAAAGTGAGTGCCTGTCCTCCATTGAACACACTGCACAAGTAAATATACCCAAGTACCAGTTTTTAGGTACTTTACTCTAGTATTTCCATGTTCTCCTACTTGTACTTCTACCTAACTACAATTCAGAGGTAAACATTAGACTTATACTCTATTATATTCATGAAATACCTTTAGTTACTTTGCAAATATGGATTAATTATACACAAAAATAATCAAGACTTGAATAAGAATTAGGTTTCAGCTGGAAGCTACCAGCAGTAAATAAAGTAATTAAAATGAGTCCCACCTTTACTAGCAGTGATAATCATATTAAAACATCAAGAATTAGAATCATTACGTGTACTTTATATTATTCTGAGATGGGCCATTCTGCATTATGAGTATTTTAAGTATTTGTTGATCTCATATTATCGTACTTTCACTTGAGTCACATTTTGAATCCAGGACTTTTACTTGTAACACAGTATTACTACACTTTGGTATTTGTAGTTTTACTTAAGTACAAGATCTGAGTTCCCCTTCAACCACTGCACATAACCCCCCCCCCC